TTATTAATGAACTGTCATGTCCAGGCGATATTGGGGAAGACTCATACGCTCATTGGATGCGCCATCAATAGTAGGAATCTGAGGTGGTGGTTCGTGATCATGGGTCCCACCACCGATGCTAGAAAAATCTCCTGAAAGCTGCGTAGCGGCTGTGTTCGAAGCTACAGCCTGTTAGGTTTGATTGTGTGCATGACAGGACGTCTGGGAACCATGGACATGGATGTATTGGTGTGTAGAATCGACTAGAATGTTGGGAATGGCTTGGGTATCGTCGGAATAGGCGGTGTCGACAATTTTTGCATTCGCGAATAGGGTATTTTCGCTTGCAAGTTCTACCAAATTTGTTGGTATGAAGGTTGGACGTTGGGTGGTATGTGTAGAGGGGAGTGAGGGATTTCCGATGGTCTAGAGGTCCGGTGGTTTGGATGGTGGTTGGCTGGGAATTTTTGGCTNTTAGTTTATTCAACTAAAAGTTTACGTAGTTTATTTCACAATAGAAACGACGATATAATCATGCCCGCTTCTTGTCTTTCATTTTGCTCGATTTCTTTGTTATTTTCTTGAGTACCCTCAACTTCAATCAGTGTACTATATATAGAAATATGATGAGGTAGTTCAACGTGATCACAAGAGCAGATAATATAAAATATAGTAATATACATATTTCAACATTCATTATCAAATAAATAAATAAAATTATTCCCAGTAAATTTAAGGGTAATTGACACAAAATGTCCCTACATTTGAGATGTATTATGGAAATCGTTCATACCTTTCATTTCTTGACATTTATGCCCTTACCTTCAACGTTTTTTGCGTTGGACGTCCTTCCGTCCACTTTCCGTCTAATTTTCCGTCCCTTAAATACAAAAATGCTTTTTTNGACATTTATGCCCTTACCTTCAACGTTTCGTGTGTCAAAGATCATTTTCACCATGTTTTGACGATTTTACACTCTTAATCAAATATAACCAAAGCAAAAGAAAAGAAAAACAAAGAACACATTGCAATTATGTGTCCAAACTTTTTAAAATGTGCAAAAATCATCAGCCTTATGCCGCCATCTTTGAAGCGAAAAATCCCCAATCAACCACCGTCCAAACCACTGGACCTCCGTACCATCGGAAAGCCCTCACTCCCCTCTACACATACCCATAAAAAAAAATCAATCAAACAACAAATTATTTTGGCAAAATCAATAGAAATTCTCCTTGGCCAAGTGGGAAGTTTCTTAGGTCAAATCCGAAATTGCTTCGTTTGAGTGGTGAATTGCAAGAATTGATTCCCTACCTAGAGTCATTACACCTTGAATTGTATGCTGGTTGGAGCAATATGTTGATTGGAAATGTTGATGAACATCAATTGAAAGGGGGTTAAAACGGTTTGATTGTCTTCTCCGTTTATGAATGAACTGTCATGTCCAGGCGATATTGGGGAAGACTCATATGCTCATTGGATGCGCCATCAGTAGTAGGAATCTGAGGTGGTGGTCCGTGATCATGGGTCCCACCACCGATGCTAGAAAAATCTCCTGAAAGCTGCGTAGCGGCTGTGTTCGAAGCTGCAACCTGTTGGGTTTGATTGTGTGCATTACAGGACGTTTGGGAACCATGGACAGGGATGTATTGGTGTGTGGAATCAACTAGAATGTTGGGAATGGCTTGGGTATCGTCGGAATAGGCGGTGTTGACAATTTTTGCATTCGCGAATAGGGTATTTTAGCTTGCAAGTTCTACCAAATTTGTTGGTATGAAGGTTGGACGTTGGTTGGTATGTGTAGAGGGGAGTGAGGGATTTCCGATGGTATGGAGGTCCGGTGGTTTGGATTGTGGTTGGCTGGGAATTTTTGGCTTCAAAGGTGGGGGGCTTAGGGGTGATGGTTTTTTCAAATTTGGACTCGTTTGCACCTTTTAAAAAGTTTGGACACATAATTTCAATGTGTTCTTTATTTTTCTTTTCTTTTTCTTTTGTTACATTTGATTAGGAGAGTAAAATCGTCAGAGCATTATGAAAAGGACCTTCGGAGCAGGAAACGTTGAAGGTAAGGGCATTGAAAAACTCAAAATTCGACCCTACTACACCAAGAGGGGGTGATTAGGTGTAAATGCGGAATTAAGATTTAATTAACATACAACAAGTCACAAGTTAATTATATCTAGGTGATTAGTCAAACAATTCAATTTAACCTATCTTGAAATGCCGCAATAATCCATAAACAATAAATAATACCAGAATTGTTCAAGGAGAAACCTAACATGAGAAAAACTCCGGGCACTTTGCCAGTCAAAGATCCACCATAAACTGCCGATAAAACTTACAGACTACAACAAAGTTGACAGCACAAGTTTTCTGATATTGTGTCTGAAATATGAAGCAGCCCTCTTGGAATGTGCATACCAACACCAATTATGGCTCTTCTTTGTAAAGCGGTCATCCTGGAATGAGCACACGAACTCCAATCCTGACTCTTTACGTAGTTTATCTCCTGTAAATCTTCCCTAAGAACTCCTCGTTCTTCAAATTTTTCCTTGATCTTTAATGCAGCACAGTTGCAGCATATCCAAGTGAAGAAACCAATCCA